CCCGCCGGTCCCGCCGCGTTTTCGGGCCGGCCCGGGACGCGAAAGCCCCTCCCCACTTCCGGGTCGGGCGGGGGGCGCGGCACTGGTCTCCAGTTCACCCTGCGTGTCACCCCTCCGTGCCTCGCCAGGGCAACGGGGGTGGGGTATGGGGACCTGGCGGGACAAAGTCCCGGGCGGGGGAGGGGCCCGGGCGGCAGAGGGCGGGGCGGCCGGGCGAGGGTCTCCGACCACGAGTCCCGGGTTCCCGCAGGCGGCTTGGCCGGCGGCATCGAAATTTGCATCACCTTCCCCACCGAGTACGTGAAGACGCAGCTGCAGCTGGACGAGCGCTCGCACCCGCCACGCTACCGGGGCATTGGTGAGCAGGGGGCAGCTACGGGGCGCCCCGGGGGGCGGGCCCCGGGGGCGGCTGGAGTCGCTGACCGCCCCCTCCCCCAGGGGACTGCGTGCGGCAAACTGTGCGCAGCCATGGCGTCCTGGGCCTGTACCGAGGCCTCAGCTCCCTGCTCTACGGCTCCATCCCCAAGGCGGCGGTTAGGTGAGACGGGGCTCGGGGTGGGGGTGGCCTCGGGAGGGGGTCAGGGGCAGTGGCGCCCCTCTCACCCCACTGCCTTCCACCCCAAGGTTTGGGATGTTTGAGTTCCTCAGCAACCACATGCGGGACGCCCAGGGACGGCTGGACAGCACTCGAGGGCTGCTGTGTGGCCTGGGCGCTGGCGTGGCTGAGGCCGTGGTGGTCGTGTGCCCAATGGAGACCATCAAGGTTGGAGGTTTCCTGTAGGGACTAAGCATGCAGAGGGGAGTGGGATGGTGGAGCCTGGGGTGATCCTGTGTCCAATGGAGATGTTGAGGTGGGGAGGGTCTTGCAGGAGGGGGCAAGGTGTGCATGGAGAACTGCCTGGGGAGCTGGGTGCAGGAGACCTGCAGGATGGGCCTCCTGTGGAGGCTGGTCTGTGTCCTGAAAGCACTAGGAAGATGGTACATTTTTAAAAAACACTTTCATAAACAGAAAACAATGGGTGTTTGCTGCCTAAGCTACCAGCAGTATCACAAACACGACTGCGGAGGCTCCTTAGTGGGGCAGGTCCTCTTGTCTCCTGGGCCTCAAGTCCCACAGTGGCCTTGGTTGTCCCTGTTTCCAAGTAAAGAGCTGTATCTCCAACCCTGGCCTGACCTTGGTGGGGTCTGGGCCTGCAAGCCAAGGGGCCAAGTGTGCCCTTCCTGTGGCACCCTGGGAGCCAGCTGCTCTGTTTCCTCTCTCAGGTGAAATTCATCCATGACCAGACCTCTCCCAACCCTAAATACAGAGGATTCTTCCATGGGGTCAGGGAGATTGTGCGGGAACAAGGTGAGCCACTTGGCCTTCCTACTCAGGTAGGGTCAGGGACCTCAGCTAGGATGAAAAGAACCTGTGTGCACTTGCTTTTTCTGCCTTGGCACTCCTGAGTGCAGCTTCCCCCAATCCCCATCTGGGGCCTGTGTGTAAGTGTAACCCTCATGCCTGCCTGCTCCCAGGGCTGAAGGGGACATACCAGGGCCTTACTGCCACCGTGCTAAAGCAAGGATCCAACCAGGCCATTCGCTTCTTCGTCATGACCTCCCTGCGCAACTGGTATCGAGGTGCGTCTCTTGCCCCAAGATCCCACCTCCACTATTGGGCTTTCGTGCCAGAGTCCTGCCCCTTGAGGCTCCCATCTTTTAAGGCCCTGGTCCATGTTCCTCCCCAGCGGTCAGAGATGGCCCCTTTACCTTCCCATCACCTTCTGATTGCATCTCCCACCCCCATCCAGGGGACAACCCCAACAAGCCCATGAACCCGCTGATCACTGGGGCGTTTGGAGCTATTGCGGGTGCTGCCAGTGTCTTTGGGAACACTCCTCTGGACGTGATCAAAACCCGGATGCAGGTGGGGTAGAGCTTGGAAGGGGGGGGAGAATTTAGGACTGGGGCTGGCTGCTGAGTCTTGTGGTGTGCTGGTGTCTTGCAGGGCCTGGAGGCACACAAATACCGGAACACGTGGGACTGTGGCATGCAGATTCTGAGGAATGAGGGGCTCAAAGCGTGAGTGAGGGAGAGACAGGGCTGCTGTCCCCACCCCAGGCCCTCCCTGGCCTTCTCCCTAGGCCTCACCCCAAACCCCCTGCCCACCCCAGGCCATCCCCTAGGGAGTCCTTACCTTTAGGCCCCTGATCTTGCCTCCAACATCTGGGCCCACCCCTACTGTCCAGGGGCATTGTCTTTCCTCTGCCTCCTCACCTACCTTTTTCTCCCACCCAATCCCAGATTCTACAAAGGCACTGTCCCCCGCCTGGGTCGGGTCTGTGCAGATGTGGCCATCGTGTTCATCATCTATGATGAAGTGGTAAAGCTGCTAAACAAAGTGTGGAAGACAGACTGAGCCCTAAGGGTCTGCATTGGGGCTGCCCTTGGGCACCTTCAGACCAGCCCCCTCTGCCCTCTTCTCATGATTCCAGTGCAGTTGTGCCAAAAGGCCCCATTCCCCTGTTCCTTGCATTCCATGGCCTGGGCCTGTTGCCTGTATCCATTGAGTCCATATATCTGATAGTACTTGTGTCCCTTGTGGTCCAAATGACACCACCATTGTGTCCATATGTTCAGCAGAGGCTGAGTGTTCCTCTGGCCTGTGAATCTGTGCCCACTTGCCCATATGCTTATTCACGAGCCATGTGCCTGTGTTTCATGTTCTGTGTCCCATGACCCTGTGTCCTGCTTCCCAGGGTACTACCCGTGTAGTCTGGGTCCATGGCTCGGTCCCAGCCCGGTGCCTTCCACCCTGGGCAGCAGGTGCACCTGCCCCGGCATACCGCAGCTGCCTCCAGGCCTCAGCCTGGCCTCACTGCATTCCAGGGGCGGCATGCCCCCCGCTTCTCCTGCCACTGGCCTTAACTGGCCCTTGGGCCCTCCCTCCGCCTGGGACAGGGTGGCACCCACCACTCTCAGGACCAACCTCCCAAGGCAGAATAAACCGGATCCTGTCACAGCCTACTGTCCCTGTGTGGTTCCATCTGTGGGTGGGCAGTGATGGCCAAGCCTCTGTGAAAGTCAAGCCCTTCCGAGTGTACTGGCAGGGGTACAGGGAAGCCAAGCAGCAGGCAGGCTGGTGGGCAACCTTCTGAGAGACTGACATCAGGCCAAGGAACATCTGTGCTCCATCCAGGCCTTGCCTGTGGCCTGTGGCCAGGATCCTGTAGGGTCACCTGGAAGTAAACACTTAGTGGCAGAGTCGGGAGCTGCGCCATACTGCTGGTTGAGCCTGGGCTACAGTGCTCCTGGGCTCTTATTTGTCCCTCAACCTGTGATTAGGCCCACCTCTCTACTTCCTGGTTTTTCTGTGAAATGGTCTGAGATGAAGTGCTTTGTGGGGCATTTAGTTTCTAGTCCTCTGAGGCTCTGAGCATGAGGCCTTTCCTCACTCCACCCAGGCTGGGAGCCCTAGGGCAAGAATGGGTGGAGCTGCCTGACCAGGACCCTAGGGGTGCCTCACCCCACAGCCCTGAACCTCAGAGGAAGGTGTCCCTCTTGCTGAATCCCAGGTTCCAGGCACAGGTGGAAGGTGGGAGCCCAACAGGGCATGGAGGATGACACAGAGCCTTGAGCTAGAGGATCCCCAGGGCTCTTCCCACCCCCCTCAGATTAGGAGCTGGGAACCACAACCCATGAGCCAAGTGGACGAGACTGAGAGCAGGATAGGATGAACCAGTACCCCTGACTGTGGAGGCAGAAGGTGCCTTCCTGTCCAGGTGACTCCATGGGCAAGTCATGAAAGGGTTTAGCTCAGGCTGGGCAATAGCTTGCCAGCAGAAGCCTCTTAGTGGGAAGGTCCCCTCCCTGAAACTGCTTTTTGGGGAGAGTACCCTACCGGAAACCTCATATAATACCCAGATACCAAAAATCTGGGGTAGATGTGAGGGCCAAGTGGGCTTGGAGAGCAAGGGAACACAGGATTTTGAAGGGTTGGGCCATGTGCTCTTGATGTTCACAGGAGGCTCGCCAATCTTTGCCATGATGGATGAGAAAGGAGCCAAGCAGCAAAGCTTGCCTGCCCACAGGAACCAAGGGCTGTCCCCCACACATACACACACCAGGGTGTGCAGGAACCCTAGAGGGGCACCAGGGCTGGGGCCTCAAACCTCAGGCCACCAGGTCAGCCTCAAGCTTTGCTATGGGGATGAAAGCAGGTGATGGGCAGTACTGACCCACAGCACAGGCTACTGAGGCTAGAGGGGCACACAGCCCTCTGGAACCTGCTCTCCAGGCCACAGTGTCTGTGACCAAAGAGAGGGCAGAACCCTGGCTCCTCATCTGTTCACTGTGTGACCTTGGGCAAATCACCTACCTTCAATCTCCTAACCTGTGACATGGAGTGACACAGGAACCCACCGAGTAGGCTATGAGAATGAAATGATGTCCCTGTAACATGCTTAGAACAATGCTTAATACAGTAAGCCCACACGTGGTAGCTTTGTCTTTGAGTCGCAAGAGGTAATTTGTAGTCTCTCTCGGGTTCCAGGTAGTTCCTAGAGTGGGCAAAGTCCAGCAACTGGGTCCTGAGGGGACTTAATGCCCCTGAACCCTGACCTCCAAGGATGGCATCCACTCACTGCTCACCGCACCCAAGTCCTGTCCATGTCCCCCTTCACTGGGATCAAGGGACTGAGGTTACCCTTTGCTAAGAGCAGGGCACGGGGACCTGTCCTCAGGAGTGGCCGGAACCCTGCCATAGCTCCAGGGTCCCCTACTATGCCTCACAGCACAATGTGGGCAGAAAGTACATAGCCCAGCCAGAAAATTTGAGCTGGGTCTGAGACCTCTGGGGTTGTGAGCATGGAGTTGCCACCTGCCCTGTTGGAACCTCCCTGTTCAGACATTGCCTGAAGAAGTAGGCAGCCTCAGTTCTTGGAACTGAGACATGAGGGAAGGGAGGCGGGCAGGGAGGGGTATTCTGCGTACAGGGAAGAGCTTGTGGTGTCTCTGGGCTGGGGAAGTGAGCATGAGAGCAGCTAGAGAGGAAGGCAGGGTCCTGGAGAAAACCCAGCTGCATTTAGCCAAGACCCCAAAGGCTGCAGAGAAGAGGCCAATGGCAGGGACCACTAGGGCTAGAACCATTGCCTGTCCTTGCAACAATGGAGGCAAAGGAGCAGAGAGATGTGGGCAGATCTTCAGGTAATCAGGAAGCAGAACAGACTAGACTTCCAGCCTGGTCATAGGCCAGTGTCAGGGAGGAGACGGCTGTGTCTGCCTGTCAGGAGAAATGTGAGCTGAGGAGTGTGGAAACCCCAGGTCACCATAATCCTCCCACAACCAGAGCCTCTACCCAACTGGAAGCCACAGCCAGCCTCCACTCGGTCTCAGGCAGCCTTTACCATTGGGCAGAGCCTCCAGCCTGGACTCACAGAATGTGCTCAGGAAAGACAATGGCCTCGGAGACAGGACAAAGGAGTAGAGGGTGGGATGGTGACCACTTCTGGGGCAGGGTTTGGCCAACCTCCAGCCCTCTCCTCACTACTATGTGGCTAGCCTCTCTAGGCAAAGGCCTTGAGGCAGCTGCCCTCCAGCCCCCCGCCCCAACTTCCTTGAACCCTTCCTTCACTGGGTGACACTACTGTACAAGTGTCCCCTGGGTTTTTCCATGTCCTTGTGTAGGTGATGAATGGCAATCAGAGCTTAGTACGTACACACACACACAAAGTCACTCCTGACAAATGGTCTGTGGTATTTTAGCCAACAAAAAGAATTTTTCAGGTTGTGCCTTCAGCCTTAACAGCAAACACAATCTTAGCTGAGGATGCCAGAGTATTTTCCTCTGGACTTTCTACTTCCTATGTGTTTTCAGATTCCCTGGGCGGAGGGGGTACGGCGGTGTAAGGGGCACAAAATTGGGGGACCTAAGGAGCTTCTGCCTCAAGACCTCGGAACAGCCCAGCCGGGCGTGGCTCAGCAGTTGAGTGTGGACCTAGGATCCAGGTGATCAGGATTTGATTCCCAGTCAAGGCACGTGCGGGGTTGTGGGCTGGATCCACAGTCGGGGGCATGCGGGGGACAGCCGATCAGTGACTCTCATGGTTGATGTTTCTGTCTCTCTCTCTCCCTCTCCTTTCCTCTGAAATCAATAAAGATATATTTAAAAAAAAAAAAAAAAGACCTCGGAACAGGGACTAGGCACACCAGGACAAGGGCAGAGATGCAGGCACAGTGGGAAACTGGCTGCAAAGAACCATGGGAGGACCGCAGAGAACAATCAAGATCCACAGCCTAGGCTAACAGTGTGGGTGATTTATAGAAAATACCGTGGTCCCTGGAGTGGCCATGTAGCTCCCCTCCCCCACCTGGCAAATATCCCTGAAAGCAACCTCCTCTCAGTTCAAATTGGGCCAGGCCCTGACCTCTGACCCTCCCTGTTGTCACCTTGGTCTCCTTGCCTGGTCGGCCACACCTGCCTCTCATTTAATCCTCCATTGGCCTGGGCCTGACCTGGAAGGCCCCACTTGGCCACAGGGGTGTCATCTCCTGAAGTGACCACAAGCGATAAACCATGCCGCCCCCTCTGCCCCCAAGCACTGCTCAGATGCCTGCAGTGGCTGCTGCGCAACCCCGGGCTGGAAAGCACGGCCTCAGGAAGCTGCTGCGGCCTTGGGCAGTTTCTGCACGCTGACCGGGTTGCCGCCCCTGAAGCTCTGACCAGCCTGCTAGTTGGCCCCTGGCGGCCCGCACCTCCGAGCCCCTCCACCCCGCTGCCTGTCACCTGGCAAGGCACCCTGCTCCGGTGCCTAGGAGGCTCCCCGAGGGTTGTGATGAGGGGAAGGTAAATCAACTGCCCGCGATCGTGACCCGGGGGCTTAGCGTGCGGGCTGGATCAGGTCACGGGAGAGGGGCTGTGCCTCTCAGGACTGAGGGGAGGGTCGCCACCCCCCGGCCAGCTGCTGAAGGCCGCAGACCATCAGAGCCTCTCTCAGCCCCCGGTTTCACAGGTGCGGAGACCGGGGTCCGTGGGCGTGGGAGATACCCAGGAGGCTTCCCCAGGTCCATTTCCGAAGAAGGATTTCCGGGGCCTTCCCCAAGGCGTGTTGCGCTCGGGGAGGAGCCGGGGAAGCCAAAGCACTCACCCGGAAGTCGGCGCGGCGAGCACTGATGACGTCACGGGCGCGCGCTCGGCCCTCGGGCAGCGCGGCTGGGTTGCCGGGTCTCCTCTACGCTCACTGCCTCCAGCCTCTTGGTCCTCATGTTTCACCGCCAGCGCCCCCACCTCACCTGCAATCCCCCAACGCCCCGCTCCCCGAGTCCTGCCCCGATGACCAGCTGCCCACGCTGGGCGCTGCCAAGGGCCCCTCCTGATCCTCCAGCCCGAGCGGACACCCCGCCCCAGCACCGCCCCCACCTGGAGATGCCTGTGTCCCAAGGCCGGCCCGCCCTCTCCCCCAGACCGCTGCGCACCACCGTTCCTTCTCCCTCAACACTTTTTCTCACCATCGACCCTGTAATTAATGTCCTTCAGGTCCTGCCGGACATATGTGCAGGTGTGGGGGGCTTGTTCCCTTCTCCTGTGTCCTCAGACCTAAGCTCTGAGAGCAGTGCCTGGTCTGTGGCTCACCCGTGTCCCTCCACAGAGCCTGGGCTAGGGAGTCGCTGGCCACTGCCACTGCTAAGTACATGAAGGGAGGACTTCCCACTGTCTTTTCCTTCCCTGCAGCTTTTGCTCTCGTGTTCCCAGTCTCAGCCATGGGAAAGGAGAGAGGCCCAGGGGCCAAGAGGGCACCATCAGCCTCTCTCCACTGCTGACCCCTCCCCATTCTGCCTGACTGGCCAGCTCCAGTCCAGCCACCTGTTGCCATTCCATGGGCTCATGTAAGGCGCAGTGGCCTTGCCACATCCCCATGGAGGAGGAGGCCAGGGAAGCCCTATGGTTCAGGGTCACCCCTCTGAGTCCCCCACTGTGGGAGTCTGTCATTTGCCACCCAAGAGGAGGAGTGGGGGCTGGGTGGGTG